TAACAAAAAGTGTTGTGGTACATTCAACGCTAGCAAATCTCTGATGTTATTTTTGTCCAATATTCCAGGACACCAAGAATTCAAGGCATGAATCTGTCAATACAACTCATTCATTCGTCCAGTGGCCAGCCAGAGTCTTAAGCTCTTAAGGAACATCAGCTAGTTTTTCTGTCCTGTATCAATAACTTGTGATCCAGCATTGCTTCTCTACAAACCTACAGAGCTAGCCCTGTGCACAGGAGCAAGACAGCAATCTCTTAATAAGATTTAGCTTTCATATTCCACAGCACAGTCTGAAGATGAACAGATAAATATGAGTACACATTCCTATGCCTTCAGTCTCTCTTCTTGTTGCACCAAAGATGTTTGTTACCATAGTCAGAAAGGTTGTAAGACAGCACACTGACAAAGCACAAGAAAGCACTAATTTCTTGGAGGAGAGACAGTTGATTAGAGGTGACTCCTCAGAGAGTTCTTGGCTGACTGGGTTATCTGGGTGACTAAGGACTTGGATTCCATCAATAAAGCCAGGTCATTGTCCCTTAGTGCTTGCTGTCTTTGCCTGCTTACCTAAACTCTCTGACTCCATCTTTTCCTGGCCATGTCTGAGTAATTACAGTGAGTGATGACATTTTCCTTTGAGCTGTTGTCTAGAGTTTCTCCATAGAGCCATGAGACACAATACACAAAACTCCACTTGCTTTCTGGGCATTGCATAACACTAGTCATCTTGAGAACTGCTTGTTAGAAAGACAGGACGCAGAGCAAACAAACAAATAAATGACCTGTGATGCCCTATCATGCAAAATTTATGTTACCAATGTATTCAGTCACCAATGCATTCATACAGCATAGGTCTATTAATGTGTGCTCCAATGATCCTAATAGAACTTACTCCCAGGTAGGTACATAAGACTGCAGCTTTAGGCTGAATAAATATGCACGTGATTGCCCTGTTAATGTGCAAATTCTTTCATTGTAGTATTTATCTCAGAAGCCATGAGCACATGCTATTGATAATCACTGTGTTTTCTTTGTGCCAAGGGACCTAATTTTCATTTTATATAATCTGCTTTACTCTTTGACTATAGAAAAGATTAATGTAAATATTACTGTTGCTAAAATAAGACTTGGAGTGATTCCAGAATTTAAAGAAATAGGCTACATTACTGTTAGCTCAGTGTTATGTGTTTCAAAATCTCACATAGATTTTGGGGGAGGGTGTTTTTTTTTTTTTTCCTTTTAGGGGGAAAAGAAATCTCACTCTATTTAGTACCTCTGTACAGCTGTTGTTCATGAAAAATGCTGACAAACCAGTTTTCTAGTTAGCAAGAGCAGCATGACATGGTATAACTCATGTTCATGCTGACCTTTATAGTGTATAATTTGTGACTGAAAAACAATTAAAAATGCTGAGCTCAAGAATGTGGAAACAATGTAGCATAATTGGGTTTGGTTATCTGCGTCTTTAGGTATATTTCCATGTTTCATCATTCAAGCATACACATACA